TCCACCCAATCCACCAATCCCTTGAAATGCTCCTTGCTGTCCGCCTTCACCACAATCTCATGAACATAATCCGAAAGCTCCGCGATTCCCATCCCCTCCACTTCTTCCACCCCTAATGACCCGTAGGGAATGGATAGCACGTTCCCAAAATAAGCACTCATTTCTGGCGCACCTAGCCGCCGCCTGCCGTCCACCACCACGCCCATTCGAGAAACTTGCCCCGCCTTTCCGACCCGCCCCATAAGCTTCCATAAATAAGCCGTGAAGGCCTCGATCTTTGTCCGCCGCCGCCGGCCATTACTGCTAGCGATGAATTGAAGGCGGTCGATTTCTTTAGCGGGAATGTAGTAGAGACGGTTTATGGCCTGGGGATCAAGGTTTTGGATTACCGTTGGTGGTGGCGGTGGCGGGAGTTGGGAGATGAGGCCGTAGAGCCGGTCTAATTCGAACATCGGTTCGAGAGAGCCAAGTTTGGTGGGTTTGCCAGGGTTAAGCAAAGAGCGATCGAAGATTGGGCTTATTGATAGTTCTTTAGAGGCCGCCATCTCAGCCCATGCCGTAAGAAACATGTGAAATGTGTAGGCATCCGATATGCGGTGGTCGAATGCGCAACCCAAAACTAATCCCCCACATTCCATCTCTGTTGCCTGCCAATTTTTAGAAACAAAGAAAAATATATGAACATATTCTCATATCTTTTATAAAAACAATATTTTTTCCAATAATAATAATGATAATGGAAATGAAACCTGGACGGCTAGAACGCCGCCACCATCGTTCTTCGGGACCAGCTTCCTCTCAACACTTCGATCGACATCATAAAAATTCAGCTGATCCAGCGCCACTTCGGCGTAAGCCTCAATGAACACAACACCGCGGTTATTACACAGCAAAGCCGGCTCGCCGGCGGCGTTGGGCAGCACCTTACCGGCGAAGGGGTAGAAGACGGCCAGCGCCTTGGCAAGGGAAGACTTGAGCTTGGCGACGAGAGAGGCGAAGGAACAGAGAGGGGAGGATAAAGGAGGCGGCTTTTTGTAGCAGAGGAAGAGTCCGACTTCTATGGGAGGAAGAAGAAGGTCGAGATTAGAGAGAGGGAGGAAATGTTCTTTCAAAGATTGGGAGTTTTCTGCTGCTATTAGCTCTTTGTGGCAGATCTTGATGCTGTATTTGTCAGCTGTATTGGCCACCATTTTTTCTGTTTTTTTT